GCCCTGGGGGTCGTACCATCTAAAACTTGGAAAGATTTGAAAATGCGCGGCGAACAAGCTGAACACTTTCTTAAAAGAAAGAAAGCTGAGAGAAGCCGACCAACGACATCTGCAATCGCTGGGAACGCGACTCTCGATCCGAGGTTTCAAAAGGAGTATTCTTTCGAAAATGATGAAGCTCCAGCCATATTAAAATACCTCCTCGCTAATGACAAAATTGAGCTGCCACCTATTAAAGATCAGGAGGGAGCTAAAAGGATTACGGATCCAAATTACTGTGCGTACCACAGAAGGGTTCTTCATCCCACCAAGATTTTCTTTGGACTCAAAAACAAAATCCAAGCCCTAATTGACACTGGCGTCATAACGGCGAAACAAGCCAATTAAAGACGACATTACTCCATTGGATACACGAGTATAAACTGTTTCCCCAAACTCCATTGGATACACGAGTATAAATTGTTTTCCCCTCACTCCGAAGAGTATACGAGTATAAACTGCTTCTCAACACTCCGAAGAGTATACGAGTATAAACTGCTCCTCGATACTCCAACAGGTATATGAGTCTAAACTATTTCCTTTCTTTCACGGGAAGTTCCTGGAGAGCGCCATGCATAGTACTCTTAAGGATAACCCAGTCATGTAACTCAGTATGATGTTAGGCCCAGTTTCGCGAAGGAAGCTGGGGGTGGATGGTTCATGTAACGGGAAGTTCTTGGAAGAATGCTATATGTAATTTTCTTAGGGATAACCCGATCATTACAAACAAAGTGATAAACACTATATCCCCACGGTGATTTCCGAATACTCTTTTGCTGAGGTGAGATTCGAGCACTTCGTTGGATCAATCTTCCCTCACAAAATTCTCTCTTAGTCAAACCTTTAAACAGTTAGGACCAAAGCCAAAATCCCCTCTCGATTCCTTCCATGAACGAGAGGTCCACAAATCGAATGGTCAAACCTTTAAACAGATAGGACTAAAGCCAAAATCCCCTCTCGATTCCTTCAATGAACGAGAGGTCCATAAATCGAGCGATCAAACTTTCCTACAGTCAGGATCACCTCAAAACTCCCACATGGTCAAACCTTACTACAGTTAGGACCACAACCAAAATCCCCTTTCGATTCATTTCAAGAACGAGAGGTCTACTTTTGAATTGAATAATCAAACTTTATGACAGTCAGGATTATTCAAACCAGTCCAGATCCTCTAAGTGGAGATCCCACTTTGAGTTTCTTTTACACCAGGAGATAGAATATAAAATTCTTCCTCTCCGATTCTGGGTTTATCTCTACCAACAAAAAAAAGACAAGGAGATAGAATATAAAATTCTTCCTCTCCATCATTGGGTTCATCTCTACCAATAAACAAGAGACCAGGAGATAGAATATAAAATTCTTCCTCTCCATCATCGGGTTCATCTCTACCAACAAAAAAGAGACCAGAATACTCCAATAGGTATACGAGTCTAAACTATTCCCCTAATCTCAACAGGAAGTTTCTAGAGAATATCAATCAGAATATTCTTAAGAATAACCTGAATACTCCAATAGGTACACGAGTCTAAACTGTTTCCCTACCTTCAACAGGAAGTTTCTAGAGAATATTAATCTGAATATTCTTAAGGATAACCTGACGAACTTTCAATGGATGTATAAGTATCAGTTTGGTGACAAAAGCTGAGCTCACGAGAACAAATACCAGTTTCGATTCAAGATCTCGACAACGGTCAAGCGATAAACGTAGTACCGGAAGAATCTTAACTATTCTACAAAGCACTGGATAGATTGAGAGATAAAGAGGTCAAGAGTTGAACTCATTTACGAGCCCCTCTCCACGATCCACTCAGCCAAGTACTGAAGGGACTGTGAGTCACGCCTATCTTATCCAAAGTATCCCAGACTCCTCTATAAAAGAATGAGTCTGGAATACTTTGAAGGGGGTATTTGTAGGCGTCAAAAAATGCTAAAAGATATCCAAATACAGCTCAAGAGAAAATCATCCAAAAAATCAAAAGAACACAAGTATAGACTGTCTCGCACTCGAGACAGTCTTTACTGTCTCCCCGTGCGAGACAGCCCTTGCTGTCTCGGTCTGCGATGCGAGACAGTGTTCTCTGTCTGCGCAGCTGCGAGACAGTTTTGCTGTCGTCGCCCGCGAGACAGCTTTCAAAAAGATCAGAAAACTGTTTTGTAACGCGGCACGACACGGTGGCCACCAAGCGTGTTCAAGAACGTGGAACGAAAGCGTCGTGGGCGAGAATCAGGTGATAACTGCGGCAAAATAACGGAGTTGTAAAACGTGGGAAGGTAAGTTAGCAAGCAAACTGCTGGGCGTTGAGGATTTTACCGAGACAGTATGTTACTGTCTCGGACCCGAGACAGTGTTTACTGTCTTTGGAACCCTGGAGACGCAGTCTTTTGCTGTCTCGGCCGGCCGAGACAGCAAAACACTGTGGTGCGGCGAAATGGTTTTTTGGCCCAGGCGGGGGTTTTTTATAAATACGCTCTGAGATGATCTTTTGAGGATCGAGCAATATAATTTCCGAGGCAATCCAGAGCAGAGGGAGGGCCAGACTTGTAGTTTAGTGTGGGATTCGCTTGAGATTTGAGCTTGCGACTTAATCTTAAGATAGAACGACTATGCTTACTTTGATAAGTATATCGTTTCAAATTTTCATTCGATAAACGAAGGAAGATCATTAAGCCGCGCCTTCACGGATCTGTGATTTGGCGGTCCACGGAGTCAAAGCGCTCAAACGACCAGCGAAGTTTCCACAAGAATAGAATTCGATAAACGACTTCTGTGTTTTATTTGCTTAAACAGTTGTTATTTTTTGCTCTTTGTTGTGTAAAAGAGTCTTATGAAAAAGACTATTTTCTTTGAATTTGTTGTAAT